TTCAATCAAGCATTATTATTCTTACAATTTTTTCCCTATAAGTTGTTATCTATTCATCCTACATGCTGCCAGGTACTGTAATATACTTCGTATGCTTTAAACTGATTTAAAGAATTCATTATTCTTAAAAGACTGGAAATTGTGTAATGTCCATATTATCAAGTATATTTCAGCCAAGGCTTATAGTTCAGCCATTATATACAAGAGTGGAGTGGGCAGAAGAAACAGAGACCTGGTCTGCCCTCTTTCTAAGATGACAAATCAAGTACAGGTAGTCTTTCTATTTCATTATTTTTTTGAGTTTGAATATGAAGGAGATTATGAATTTCCCAGCTCAATACTCAAACCTTGTCGATTTGGATGTTTTACCTGATCCTGATATCTGCTCAGCATTACTAAATTCATGGTATGCTTTGGTATGTCTTGTTTAACTGCCTTGTTTTGTTTAACTAGGCCAAGTGTGCGTCAATGTACCAATTTGCATGTCTTGGATCATATTTCGTGGAGGGATTTGCGAATTATGGAGTGCTTAACTCTGCTTATGCTACATGAATATTCTACTATTCTTTACTAGTTTACAGCTGTGTGACAATTTCCTTTTCAATCTGCTCATCTGAAAGTTAGCCCAATATTATCTACTTAAGTTCTAATACAATATTTGTTATAGTTTGTTGTTTATGGCCAATACAATGTATGTGTATAAAGTTTGATTAAAATCAGAAAAATCCAACAGAATTGTACTTTAAAATGTTCTAGTGTATCTAGTCCTTCCATTATATTAGACATTCTAAGAAGATATGACAAGGGGAAAACATATCATGTTTGTGGGCTTCCAAAAAACTACTGTATATCTTTCTAAATGTCCTTTTCTGAAACCATCATAATTTGGAATCATTATTTTAATTGCATAATCTTGTTTTATCTCTAATAATGTTTCTAAACATTTACTGATATTACTCCTGGTTTTGCTGGGGAGATTATTTCCCAGCTAGAAGAAGTGCCCCACTCAGCCACCCCAGCCTCTCCTCCATACACATACATAACACATAAGGAACACTATTCACCTGTAGCTCTTTATTTACCTATTTCGTCTACAATTAATTGTCACACCGTCCCAAAAAAATTGGCCTTTTATAACTGATTATTCGATACCTATTACTACTTCTGTCCCTAAATGATGTGCTTGTTTTTTCCCAAGATAGGAGTATAATATAAAATCTGAACATTTTATACATTTTTTGTTAGTTTACGATCGGATGAATCGCTAAATCTCTTGTAGGCAAGGGGGGATAGGGGTTTCCTTCAGATGGATGGCATTTGGAATAATGACAAGAATATAGCCTTTGGACTAAAACCAAATTTGGTGAAATATTTCCCCATCTCACATCATATAAGCCAACTTTGTGGGGGAAGTGTAACCCTATGATTTAGGGCAATCTCACTATCTTTAGAAAAAACGTCTAATATACTAATTACTAAAGTTTGGAGATGCTCTATTGATATTGTTTTCCTCCTTGTTATCTCACTTTAATTTCTTTTTGGTTGCCCTACTCTCCTTGTCCTACAATCCAAATATCACTAACAAATCTAACTACCATATCAGAAGGTGGTTGTGCAACAACCAACACCATAAATTATGAACACCTGTTAGGGGACCGATGATGGGTCACTCTTAGATTCATACCCATAGGATTTTTTAGAGCATAGTCAAAATACTTTCATTTGTCCTTTTTAGGGGCTTCTTACTTTGGGATGATAGTATTAGCGTTGATCATAAGTCGGATCGAACCAAAAATAGTCATCCTCCAAGTAAAATGTAACGATTGAGTCAAGGACTAAATTGGTCTAAAAATGCGTATTCATGACCCTCTACACCCGAATACCCCCCAACTAATCTAGTCGAATCCTGTTAGACTTGATCAACTCTGCTGCGTATAACATTAGTTAGATGATGTGGGCTTATCCTTTGTAGCTCAAACAAATGGTACAAATTTGTTGGGATGAAATCATCTACAATTAGTCGATGAATGGACATGGTTGAAAAAATTGTTGCTTTCATTCATGTTTTTCTAATAGTAATGTTATTGTCATTAATCGTAGCACATTGATAATAAATTCACAAAACCTAACCAATTTGTAGCTTATTCGGTTCATAATTTCGTCATTGGTAATACAATAATGAACTAATGCTATCTAAAGCAGTTATCTTTCGCAATCTATGAATGATAAACAGTAAATTACTACTACTATGTACTAAGCTTACATCTTAAATGATATCAGAATTAAATTCCAATTTGCTGAATTGCTGATGTAGTTAAATAAAATAAATACCATATTCTTCGTAGGTGTAATGGAGATGTACAGTGTACATACCCTGCTAACCTAATTCAATGCAATGTGCTGTCTATTTCATGCCATAATTTATATGAGTACTCAAGCAAGGATGGATATGGACTTACTCGTCCAATCTTTCTCTCGAAATTATAAAATGAAAATATTTCGTGATCATAAGAATATGCAACAAAGGGATTCGTTTTGTAAAATACTAATATACCATTGGAACTTTTATGAAGGCTTTTGTCTATGTAGGGTTGAATCCCTCTCTTATATACTTATTTTTCACTGAATATAAACCGTGAAAGTGTGTAATGATTATAAAAAGAAGATTAGGGGAGAAAAAGAAAAAAAAAACAAACAAACAAACAAAATAAATTGCAAGACTTCCTTGTATTATTCATACTCAGCTCGTTTACATATTTTAATATGTTATTTAACCATGATGATTAAGCCCGTATAGAGTTACTATGGAATTTCAATGCTGGTACGTACAATAATTAAACCACTAATACTTTGTAGCTTTTTTCCTAGGTTAGTAATGCTTTGGAAAAAAAAAAAAAGAGAGAGAGAGAGAGAGAGAGAAAAAAGAAAGGAAACTACCCTTGATTCTTTTTGAGTAAACGTTAATATCAACAAAACTAGTCGATTTAGAAGAAGTTAGATTTGAGATTCAGATTGAATCCTATTTCAATTACTTATTTTTTGTGAATATAATGAATAACCAAAATCAAAATGTGTATAGGGGGGAGAGAATTGGCTACCCTTTTCTATCAAAGCAAGATCTAGAAGTAAGGAATGTTTATAATTTCAAAGTTTGATTTTGTTACATTACCATGTGATCCTTTATATATGATCAACCGCCTAAATGAGTAAATGCTTATTACTTTCTTATTTGATAGTCACCACTCACCCATCATCAATCATATCATCAATCATATGATTTGGACCGCCCATGAACGTTTTTGAAAAATACAATATTATATATACATAAATATTGCCAAATAATGTATAATTTAATCATAAATTTTTTAACGGAGTATTCCATGTAAGTAATTTAGTATTAAATCTAGAGAGACGGATAATATTTTATACTTATAAGATATACTAGAAGCATTAAAACCTCTAAGCAACACTAAGCTAGCTCAAAAATCAAAGCACCCAAATTTCAATAACTAATCTAAATTAATTAAACAATTCATCCATCAAAGTCGCATCCAAAACACAGTTACAAAGGTGATAATGTTCCCTTAAAAACTGCTAATGATTCTTCCACCATGCGCAAAATCTGTTATAAATTAGAGTATTAATCGTATATTATACACTTGTGTATTATATGTGTGAATTGAGCATAGGTTATTAGTTCAATCACAAAGAAAGTAATAAGGGATATTTAATATTCTCCACTTCGAAAAAGAAACCAACAATATAAGGTTTAGGTGGGGGTGGCATCAAAGTGGCTCATTGGCCATTATACTTTGAACTTATATGCTTAAACAAAGTATTCCACTTTTATTTTTAAGTGTTTTGGACCTTTTCTTGATTTAAAAATTCATAATATCGGATGTTTTTGCTCATTTATGAAATAAGCATATAACTTATCATGACTCGTCTTCCAATATGATCTCTCTCAACTCTTATTATAAAGCCAATCAATGTGACTCCAAGCTTTTTTTTTTTTTTTTTTTTTTTTTTAATTGAATAGATATGACTCCAAGCTAATTAATTATTCAAAGACATATCATGAAAAATGTTGTTAAACGGTACGTAAGCTCTTTCCACAATGAATGAGATCAATCTACTTGTATAAAATTATAAAATCAGTGGACTTTTATATTGTAACTTGTACAAAGTAACACTATTATCATTATTATTATTATTAAGGACGTCTATTTTACCCTCGTACCATACATACAACTCAAGACCCTCACATAATGGACTCTGAGTTTGATTTTTTGCTTGTGCGGAGAAACGTTTTGTCTAGTAAGGCATCTAATTTACACTCGAGCACATATACAACTCAGCAACGCATATTTAACAGACTCTAAATGTGTCACACGTCATCTTGAATGCATCTTCTTCCAAATACATCCGAATGTACATTAAATTTAATGAGAATGCCAAAATCATATCGGAAGAAACATCCTTTCCCTTTCCACCCCCATCTCTTTCTCACATCTTAAAGTTTCCACCCACCATCATCTACCATTGGGATCCACATCATAGATTCCATGCTTTCATGAAAAATGGAAAGAGATAGAGAGAGAAACATACAAACAAAAAATAAAGGAGGCAAAATGAATCAGAAACCATCCAAATTTAGACCAAAGGGACAGTATTAGAAATTTAAAGCAAATAATACAATTTAGCTCAAACTTTTCATGTAATGTTTATACATCAATAAGAAGTTAAGAACCAAATGCCCCCACCCACCCATCATTTTCAGTCCATACAAAATTATATGGAGAAAAAAGAAGCCGCATGAATTTTCCTCATTTTATCCAATACAAGTTTTATTTTTTTAATACCTTATAAATTTATAATATACTTGTATTTTGCAAGTGCAAGAATAAGAAATAAATAAATAAAATTCATACAAAATTTCATATATTCAGTGATTATATATTACTTGTATGAGTTATCGACTTATCATACATTGATACATGTTTTTGATACGTGTCAAGGGCTTTTTTCATTTAGTACTCCATAACGAATTGTCTTTGGAATAATAAAAATATCAAGATTCATGAACAAAAGAAATATTACATAGATATTTGATTAATTGATTAAATGTAAAAAAATAACCAAAAGAATCACCTTAGCTGGGCAACAACTTTGCAAATAGCCCAGATAGGTTCCCATTTATCTTTTCTTTTTAGTTTCTGTAGTAATAATAATAAATAATCAAATAATATATGGTAAAAAAAATTCTTGAAGAATGTCCTCCAACTCCCTCCTATTGTTAATTGTAGTCTTCTGAATTCTGACCTGAATCTCGAAAATAAAAATGAAAACTTGGGTTTTCACTCTTTCCAGTTCAAGCAAGCACTACTGAGCAGCAATCTGATCAAGCCATGCCCCCAGAGTCGAATGGTCCACGGATTGTTCCTGAGAGTTAGAATTTGAACCATCGGCACAGAGCATTGAACCAGATACTGCATTACTCGGCACCTCTTTATTTTCGGAAGATGGTGAATCCTTGACCAACGATTGAACCCAAGAAAGATCAGGCTCCTCACCATTATTCCCGACTGTATAAGATCGCTTCAAATGAGTCAACTCGTCGCCATTGATAGACCAATCAGCTCTCCCGTTGGTTGAAAATTCCCACTTAGACCATGAACCCACATTCACAGGAGAGCCAGATATCCCACCAGTCTCAGGTATGAGGTCCCGAGGCAGATTAGCACCAAGATCACGTGCACTCAAACTGCGCATCTGCTGGTGTTTGTCACGCAAGGCAAGTACAGATAAACGAGCATTGAAAGAAGACTGAGGATCGATGCCTCGAGGTGAAGACATCATACCAGGTGAAGATGGCCCAAATGAAGGCTGTAAAAGGGAATGATCAACTGGTTTGGGGGAAAAAACTTTGGTATTTATAGGTGACAACATGCTTTGTTGCTGCTGCTGAAAGTGGTTAAAAACTGCTGACTTGTGTGAAGGAGAAAACACGGATGCTGCAAGTGGATCAGAGTACCGAGGGGATGAGATCTCAGCAGAGAAAAGCTCATCAAGGTTGGATGGAGCCAGAGATTTTGGGCGAGCTGAGAGATTCCCATGTGCAAAGCAAGACATATCATTAAGGATATGACGTTGCTCCATATCCTGCAGCATACTCAACTCCTCAGCTGGAATATCTCTCGCATTTAGAGATGATCTCAGACGGCTACTTTGGATATTGTTGGCCTGAATGTTGCTACCTGGAAGATGCAAGGTAGGGATGTTCTGCTGCTGCCAACCTGCAGAGTGAGAGATCCCATTCCCAGATGGAGAGAGTGGTGGTGTGAATGGTGACGGTGACATGGCAGATGCTGCAGATGGTGAACCAGGAAAGAGATTAAGGGCAGCAGCCATATCCATAACAGCTGCAGAGGCTACTGAACGGGGTGAAGGAACAGCAGATCCCGTTGATGCATAGAGAGGTCGAAGTTCCTCAGGGGTATGTGCAAAGAAGCAAACACGACGATTACAGCTTGTGCCATCCTTGCACAGTCTAGTCCTGTATTGTGCTGGATGTAGCCAGCATTCAAACACACCATGAGCATATTCACACATATCACCACGTCTACAAGTACCCTTACGAAACTCAGGACAAGGGACACAACTGTAATGGAATTTCCTGGGGTCCCTTCTCCTAGCATTCTCCCCTGGGTGGACAAAGGGGCACTCAGTCCAGTCATGGGAATAAGCTCGTGAACATGGTCGAATCTTAAATGAGTACATTCGAAAATCATCAGTAGCATAAATGCTATTCTTTATATCAGGTAGAGATGGGTCTACAGGGTACTCCTTCTTTGCGGACATAGGAGATGAAGGAGCCTCTAATCCAGAGGAGATAGATTTGTTCTCCGAAAGAGTAGGGATAACCAAAGGAGCAACCTTCAACCCATTGCCTAAATCGCGGAGATCTTTCTGATCAGTAGAATCATGGCAATTAAGCATATCTTCAAGGGCAACTTGCAGCTGAGGAAGCATCTGGGAAACAGTGATCACATCACATGGTCGATTCCCTTTGGCATCAACTAGATTCGGATCAGCACCATTGGCCACAAGCAGCTTCACTGCATCAACAGCATCTAAAGATCCACCAGAAGCAGCACAATGAAGGGCAGTGCACTTATCAGGGCCACAAGCACAATTAACATCCACCTCTGAGAGAGAAAGAATAAACTTCATCACATCCAAACTTCCGTACATAGATGCAACCATCAACGGTGTCCTGTACTCCAATACCATCCCCCGAGCACCCAACTGCCGGCCATACCATAAACCAATCTCGTCGATTACATTAGGTTTCGTCTCTATACACTGTTTAAACCCTTCAACATCATTATCAGCTGCAAGCTCAAGCAGCTCAGAAAAACTAATCTTCGCCTCAAAGATTTCACTAGAATTGCTCGTTTTCACATCCATAATCACAGCAAAACTAACTGACAAAAAAGTTCAACCTTACTTCCTCTAGCCTTCAAGGGTCTACATACACGCTTCGATAACCCGAAAATCAATCTGATAATCACCAATCAACCTCTATATCAGTCATTAATCTCTTGTTGACATGTATAAATCCGATTGTTTTATCAATTAATGCAGAAAATCAGCAAATTAATACAGAAAATCAACAAAAACTTGCTCTTTAATACAGGTTATCAGTTCTAACAACAGCTTATCCATAAAAAAATAACCAAACGAATGCTTAAAAGAAAAACCCAGAATTTGATTTAGCTTAGAACGCATATATGAAATTACTAAACTACATGTATTTCACAAATTAACCCCACAAAAAATAATTAACAAGGTTGAAAAAAAACACAGGAATATAGATGAAAAATAAATTAAAGTTAATAATCAGAATAACAAAAAAGAAATACTTACTGAGTTCAAATGAATTAATTGGATTGTGAACAGCAAACTGAATATTCATCTTCTGAATTCAAGAAAACCCACCAAAATCACAAATTCATGGATCTACTGAAGCTCGAACCCCATAAAAAATGGAGAAAAACCCATTTCAAAGAAACTGAATTTAATCACCATTTTTGTACTTCTTATTCAAAATAATCACAGTAAAAAGGAAACAAAAAATAAATAAAAAAAAGTAACGTATTAGAGAAGAATAAAAGATTGGAACTTTAGGGAAAAAATTAAATAAAAATGAGTTTGATTTGATTATTATTCATTGAATGAACAAATGAATAAATGAATTCCCTCTCACTTTCTCTCTCATAAAAATTTGTTTCAGAGTGCAGAGAGAAGATGAAAAAGAAGAGAGAGAAAGAGGGGGTGAAGAGAGAGAAAGATTGGGAGAGTCTGTTTAAATTTGCAGGAAGAAGAGTGGGGGTAATGGGGAACCAGAAGAAGCGGTGAGTGTAATAGGGGGTAGGTGACTGAGGGCATAGCTTTGGTAACCGTATAAAGCGGTAGACCATTCAGTGGACTTCACTTTGAAAATTCAACTGAATTTGGGGTTTTCCTTTGGTGTCCGAAGTTGTGGATATAAAGGTGGAGATTTTGGGGTACTTTAGTCAAACTTTAGTCAAAAATTACACCATTAAGCACGACTGAGGTGGCCAGTGGGCCGGGTTGGACCCAGCCCACCCTAACTCGCACGGCTGGTGGGTCACGTGGGTCCGACCCGGTTTCAATCCGGTACAGCCCGGCACAGCTCGGATTTAATCCGGGTTGTGTCGTGGGTCCAAAATTTTCGACACAACCCATTTCAACCCAGCTCAGTTTAACCCGTTTGATTCGACCCAAATCGCACAACCCGTTTTGACTCATTTAATTCGACACACCTAGCCCGTGAACCCACCTAACCCGACCCACCTGGCACAACCCAGCCCGCACGGCCCACCCGCACGAATGACCCACCCAACCCGCACGAGCCAACCCACCTAACCCGCACGCATGACCCACCCAACCCGCACGGCCGGCACAACCCGCACGGCCCGCACAACCCGCACGGCCCGCACAGCCCGCACAATTCGCACGACCCGCACGGCCCGCACGGCCTAACATCCATTTTTAAAAAAAAACGGCTAGTTTTTTGTATCTAACGGCTAGTTTTTTGTATCTAACGGCTAGTTTTTTAAGTGTATGATCATCCATTCTATTTTTCCTATAAATACCAATTCCATTTCACTCAAATTTCCACACAAATTCAAGCTTTCTTTCTCTCTTACTTAAAAATTCTTATTGTTCTCAAATTCTCAAGTGTTATATAGAGTTATATTTTTGTTAAAAAAAATCTCCTTAATATTATTATTAGTATTCTTAAGATTCTAAAAAAAAAAGTTCTTCTCCATATTATAATTAGTAATCATACAAAAAAAAAATGAGCTCAAGAGGAGGAATGGGAAGGAGTCAAAGTGGTGGTCGAAGTGGTAGCCAAAGGAGTGGTGGTGCAAATTTTTCGTATGAAATTAATACGGAAAATTTAAACCAATTTGTCAATGAATATGGAGATTATGGTTTAGGAGATAGGCAAAATATTCAAACGTCTCCACCACAACATTTCTCCCACGAGTCCCACCAATCATCAAGTTCAACTATGCCACCTCCATCGCAACCAACATCTCAACCTTCATCTCAAGGTAATTTCTAATTAAATTTTTATTGTTATGAATATTTAAAAAAACTATTATTAATGATTATAAAGTTAGTTTAGTTTCCAATTTTCTATGATTTACAATTAGTTAATTACCATGAAAAATGTGTTTAAATAAGTATAATTAAAATATTTAAAATTTAAAAGCTTATTTTCATGAATAGCATTTAAAAATTAATTTTAATAATTTGATTTATGAAAGGTGGTGGCGGTGAAAGTAGAGGTCGAGCACATTTTTCTTGGGTGTGGAAACATTTTGAACGAGTTGAGGTCACACCCCCGGGATGGCAACCTGGTCAACCAAAGAGGTTCACGTGTACATGCCTAGTTTGCAAGGCGCTAGGTGCAAATGTCAAGTCATATAATTGGAAAACGGGAGATGGAACCGGAACCTTGAGTCGGCATTTGCAAAATAAACACGACTTGTTCGAAAATGGCCCCCGTCCTTCGGGGGGTGGCGTCCAAACACAATTGGGTGGATACATGAACCAACCCGGCGGAGGTACACCTTTCATTTATAATAAAGATAGAATGATTGATGAAATGAGTACTTTAGTTATTGCTAATGAATACCCTTTTAGTTACGGTGAAAATGCAAACGTTGAGCATTTTAATAAAGTTGCATTACAACCTGCATTTACTCGTGTCCCCCGAAATACCCTAAGACGTTATACACAAACTTCTTATTATAAGTATAGGAGTGGTTTGATTGAATTATTTCGTACTTTTGATGGTCGTGTTAGTTTTACAAGTGATACATGGACTTCTAGTTTTGGCGAACCTTTTCTTTGCATTACTGCTCATTGGGTGGATGATGATTGGTTTATTCAAAAACGTATACTATGTTTTCAAGCTATGGAAGAAAGGCATACCGGTTTTAACATCAAAGTTCGTATTTTGGATTGTTTAAAAGAATTTCACTTGAATAATAAAGTTTTTTCTTTGTCTCTTGATAATGCAACTGCAAACACAAAGTGTATTGACTATTTGAAAAATGACTCCGAGTTGAATTTGTTGTTGGGTGGTAGTCTCTTGCATGTTAGATGTTGTGCTCATATTTTGAATTTGTCTGTTCAAGAGGGTCTCGCTGAGTTGCAACCATTGCTAAACCCAATTAGAACAGTTATAAAATGGATTAGGATTACTCAGTCAGTTAGAAGAAAGTACATAGCTATGTGTAAAGAGAGAGGTCTTAAGAAAAGACAATGGTCTATTGATACCCCTACCCGTTGGAATTCTACTTTCAAGTTGTTGAGTGATGCTATAAAGTATCGTGATATTTTGACCCAACTTTACAATGAGACTCGTGTTGATCCTACTGAGTTAATAACCGAAAGTCATTGGACTAATGCTTCTTTTGTTCGTGATGTTTTAAATGCTTTTGATAGTGCAACTCATATTTTCTCTTATATTTATGAGCCTAACGTTCATTTAGTCATAATTGAGTGTGTTAAAGTTGTTCACACCATCGAAGAGCATATGAAGATTGATGGACTTCGTCCCGTTCTTGATAGCATGAAACGTAAGTGGCATACTTATTTTAGTGAATTTCCAATCATTTATGGAATTGCTGCTATTCTTGACCCCGGTGTCAAAGCTGAAGGTTTGGAAAATCTTTTAGAATTTTATTATACAAGTTTAAGTATCGATTATGATGTTAGTGAATATATTAACAAATGCAAATCTGTTTTGGGAGACCTTTATGATCATTATGCATCTATTTATGGTTTTGATTTGGCAACACCAGCTACTACTAGCACTTCCGATTCTAGATTTGGTTTTCTTGATAAAGTTATGAAAAAAAAAACACAAAGCATCTACATCATTCTCATCATCATCTTCTTCAACACTTGCTATTAATGATTATTTGTCATATCAACATGAGACCAACAACAACTTTCAAATTATAAAATGGTGGCAAGAACGTAAAAAAAGTTTTCCTATATTGGCGAGAATTGCAAAAGATATACTTGCAGTTCCCGCTTCATCTGTTGCTTCCGAGTCTGCTTTTAGTGCAGGTAGAAAAGTGTTAGATGAAAAAAGATCTCGCTTAACTCCGGAAAGCATTCAAATTTGTGTTTGTAAGAAAGATTGGGATCAAGCTGAAAGAAGAACTCAAGGTTTAAAGGAAGACGAAGACGATGAAGATGATCCTGTGATGATATTGGAGTCGTCAACGGATGATGCAGCTTCCGGGGATGATGATGCAACAAACATGGGTGGCTAGAAAAGTCTAAATCAGGTACGCTAAGAACTACGTGGGCTTTGATTCTTTCGGGATACGTAGGCAACTTATTTTTCGAAAATTACAATTTAATTGCAAAATTAAATTTTAGTTTTCTAAAGATAGGTCCAAGCCCCCCCCCAAATTTCAAAAGAAGTACAATATAAGAACTACGCTGGCTTTGATTCCTTATTTTATAATATAAGGATACGTAGGCATCTTAATTAAGAGCAAGCCATCAAATTGTTAATTTTGTAAAAATTAAAACACCACACAACCCACCCGACCCTAACCCACGAACCCACCCGACCCTAACCCACAAACCCACCCGACCCTAACCCACCTAACCCACAAACCCACCCGACCCTAACCCACTAACCCACCCGACCCTAACCCACCTAACCCACAAACCCACCCGACCCTAACCCACTAACCCACCCTTCGACCCACCCTAACTCACTAACCCACCTTGACCCGTCTAACCCACGAACCTAGCTCGACCCACCCATGACCCGTCTAACCCACAAACCCAGCTCGACCCACCCACGATCCGTCTAACCCACAAACCCAGCTCGACCCACCCACGACTCGTCTAACCCACGAACCTAACCCTGGTGTGTCCAACTTCTCCGACCCAACCCACGACCCGGCCCACCCTACCCTACGTGTGTCGTGCCGTGTGTCATGAAACCCCAACCCGCGACCCACCTAACCCTAACCCAGCTCGCACGACTCGCACGGTGGACACCTCTAAGCACGAGTCTATTAGACTTTTGGTTATTGTTTTTGACTTGTATCAAATCAAACAATATAAATATACATGTAATAGTAAGATAAATTATGCTACAATGAAAATAAGTTTTAATACCTCAAAGCTTAATTCGTACTATGAAAATAATTTCAAAGTTACTCGTATACAAAGTTCAAGTTACTCGTATATACAAAGTATGAAGCAAGTTACATTAGAGTTTTTGTCCAGAATTTATCTTAAGCTATTTGATTTTAGTGAGGAATGAGGAGATGGAGGAATGATTAGTCCGATTGAGGGATGGTTAGTTCCTCCATCTCCCCCCCCACCCAAGTGATAGGGGGTTCGATTCCTCACAACCCCCATTCCTGTAATAAGGTGGGAGTCCACCCTGTAGTTTATCATTTAAAAAAAAACTATTTGATTTTATTTTGTTTGAACTAGTGAGTTTTTGGCCAACATGCTTCCGAAAATGAAACTCTACAACAATAGATTTCAAATTCCGTAATATCTTATTTTTTCAAGTCATGGGTCATATATTCTTCTTCATTGAAACTTGGCTACTTAATTCTCCATGGCGTTATAATATGGTGGATGTTGAGATGGGAAAATTGTGCTACCTTTGGGAAGAGTTAATAAATCTTTTGGAATATTACTTAGTTATCTTCACACCAACTACAAGGAGGTGTATATTAAGTGAAAAAGCTTGATTTTCAAAGGGTAGCGTCTTGGTTGACCTTAGGATCACTACAAAAATGACCATATAGAAACGGAATTAAATTAGAGATGGAATTAAAAATCCATCTCTAAATTAATTTAGAAACAGAATAAAAAAATCTGTTTCTAAATTAGAAACGGAATTAAAAAATCAGTCTCTAAATTAG